TTGAGATACTGTCTAGTACCTTTCGATTTAATCCTGAAGGACTCCCTTCAGCATTTCTTGTAGGGCAGGTCTAGTGGTAACAACCTCCTTCAACTTTTGTTTATTTGGAAATGTCTTACTATCGCTATCATCTTTAAGGGACAGTTTTGCTGGATATAGAATTCTTGGTTGACAATTTTTAACTTTTAGGACTTTAAACATACTATCTTACTGCCTCATGGTTTTTATGGTTTTTGATGAGAAACCTGTTGTTATTTTATTGATGAACCTTGTATGGAATGAATCACTGAATTTGAATATATAAATTCATATTTAATAAAATTTGAGATATTTTTAAGCCATTATTTTGTCATTTAATTTTTTTTTTTTCATTTACTGTTTCCTTGTATCTTTCTGGGCCAACAATTTCATGTGTGTTAAACTGGCTGGTGTTGTATTTCAAGTCAGTGATGGTTAATTAAAAAAAATTTTTTTTTCCTCTGTGTTTTGTTTTGGATTGTTTCTATGGCTGTGCTTCAAGGTCACTGAATTTTCTTCTAGGTTTTTTAATTTTCTGTAAATCCTACAGGTGTGGGTGGGGTTTTTTTCTTTTTTCATTTCTGATATTGTATTATCTCTTATAGTTCTATTGGAATATTTTTTTATAATTGTTCTTTCCTTATCTTGTTTATTTTACCCTTTATATCTTTTATATATACCTTTGAACATATTTATAAGCCTTATAATGTTGCTTATAAAGTCCTAGTCTGCTAATTTCATTATCTCTGTCATTTCTTGTTCCTATCGACTGAATTATCTCCTCATTTTAGGTCATATTTTTCTGCTTCTTTGCTTACTGTAATTTTTGAATGATAGATATTGTGAATATTACATTTTTGAATGTTAAATTGTGTTGTAATCTTTAATGGTTACAACATTAAATAATAAGTCTGTTACCACTTTTATTGGTTATTCTTTTATATGTAATGTGTAGTTTTCTTTGGCTGCTTTTAAGACTTAAGTGTTATGTTTAGATTTTAACAGTTTGACTATGACATGTGCATGCATGGTCCTTGTACTCCTGCTGCATTACTTATAAAGAGATAAATATTAGTAACAACTCAAATATCTAAGAATTTGAGAATGGCTAAATATTCATCAATATAATGGAATGGCATTGAATAAAGATGTAGATTATGATGGTACAAGATAAAGTGTATACAAAATGTTTAGTAAAAGAACAAACTATTAACTACAAATATTTGAAAAACGAAAAACATTTGAATTAGAAACTTATAAATTTAAGAGTAATGTAAGTAATGTATTAAGGTAAATGTTTTCTTCATCTGAAAATCTGCTTTTCATTGCAGCTTTATTGAAATAAAGTTAATATACCATATAATTCTCCCATGCAAAGTGTACAATTCCAGCCTTGGCCAGGTGGCTCAGTTGGTTGAAGCATCATCCCATATACAAGAAGGTTTCTGGTTCAATTCCTGGTCAGGGCACATAGCTAGGTTGAAGGTTTGACCTCCGGTCAGGGTGTGTACAGGAGGTAATTGATCGATATTTCTCTTTCTCAAATAAAAAAAAAAAAAAATCCTTGGGTGAGGATTTTTTAAAAAGTGTACAATTCTATGGTTTTGAATATATTCACAGAGTTGTGCAACCATTACTGCAATCCATTTTATTTATTTATTATTATTTTTTATCCTCACTCAAGGACATTTTTCCATTTTTATTTTTGTTCAGATAGAGTGGGAGGGAAAGAGAGAGAGAAACATCGACGTGAAAGGGACACATCGAGTGGTTGCCACCCGCACGACCCAACCAGGGCCGGGGACAAACTGCAACCAAGGTACGTGCCCTTAGCGGGAACCGAATCCGGGTCTCTCTGGACCGCAGGCTGATGCTTTAACTGCTGAGCCAAAGCGGCCAGGGCTACTGCAATCAATTTTAGAAAAATTGTATCACCTCAATAAGCAAGTCCACACCTATTAGTAACCATTTCCCATTTTCCCTGTCTGCCCTCAGTCCTAGAAAATCAACCACAAATTAACTTCCTCTCTTTATGGATCTGCCTATTCTGGGCATTCTATTAAAATAGAATCATACAATATCTGGTGTTTTCTGACTGGCTTTTTTTTTTTTTTTTCATTTAGCATAATGTTTTCAATGTTCATCTACGTTGTAGGATGTGTCAATACTTTATTTCTTTTTATTGTTAAATAATATTCCAAAATCATCATTTGATACATAATTAACATTATAATAAACAGCTCTGTATATAAAGTATTTTTAGATAGAGTCCCTAATATGAAATTAATATTATGGGATCAAAGGAAATAAATTTTCTCCTGTTGTATTTTGATATTTTAAATTTATATGCCACAAAAGATTACATAAATAAGCAATTTTGCATTAATTTCCTGAAAACACAAACAAATATGAAGAGAAAAATCTTTCTGATCACTGCCCTTTTCCACCCCATTCCCTACTCTGTGGGCCTGTTCATCTACTGTCTACCCCTAGAGGCGGTCATTATCCTGAGTTTGGTACATATCCTTCCAATTCATTTTTAAAAAGTCTCTCTTTCCCCTCTCTCTGTCTCTATATGTATATAGATAGATACATACATACATCTTTAATGGTTTTTAATTACGTTATTGGAGGTTTATAAATTTAATGTGATGCCTGCAACACAAATCCCTATGTGCATTATTAAACAGAACAAAAACTAATTATATCACTACTATCCTTTCCATCAATATTCATATCATATAAATAAACCATAGTGTAATGGGAGATGTGAATCCCAATAATTGACTCTAATAGCTATCCTAATAATTCATTCCATGCCCTCAAGATAATACCATATTGTATTTCAGGAGGCTATTTTAATTTCAAGGAAGGTAAACAGGATTGATTTCAAGGGGCTGCAGATTCAGTGTGGGACCAAAGCACTCAGTTTGATTGTAGATTTGATAATTAATTAACTCATTCTTAAACTCTAAAACTGCTACCTAGTTGCTATCTAATTAGACAATTAAATCAGCCATCTAAAAATGGAACTTTGTGAACTCACCCAAATATTTAACAGGTATTCTGTGCATATTTGGTTGAGCATAAGAAAATATTCCAAATTTTTATTTAGGTTTGGAGGAGGCCTCTGGTCATTGCCTACAGTCAGGGTGAGTGATCAGGTTTAACAGGTTTCCTGGCTGTGGGGCAAAACCAAGGTAGCCATGTTTTGTTATCCAAATCTCTTGATTTTTTTTCTGGAAAGAAATGATTTCTCTTTATACAAAATACCTGGTGGTAGGTAGCACAGATCATTCATATTTTCATGTAGTTGAGTGTGAATTGTCTCATGTTTCCTGGGACTTTTTTAAACTTTGAGGATTAAATGTAATCTCAGGGCAAAAGCCATTCGGTTATTGCCTGGAGATCTTCATGACAGCTGATCTGCAACTGCATTAAACTATCTTATAAAAAAACTATGGAAAGAATAGAATAATAAGCCCCTACTAAATTTATTTGTAAAGTTTAAACATTTTAGTTCACTCTAAAAAAAAATACTGTTTCCCGTGTAGATCACTCTACCACTTAATCACCTATGCTAAACTATTATATCACCTTTTTAGGAGAAAGCAGTACTCTTGTTTTTTCAAGTTTGTTTGTATTACAATTTAGGAGTATTAGACAGATACTAGTTACAGCATTTACCTATATTTCAGCTCCCTACCCCATCTATCACGGAGAGCCCCACTCAGTGAATGAAGTTGGGTATTTGCATAAAATAGCAGGCAAGGAATGAACAGCACTGCTGGTGGAGTACCCATATTAAGAGTTTGGGGCTGAGAAAAACCAAGATGTTCAGTCTAATTTGACTGGATTTATTTTGGATGCTTAGAGTAGTGTAAAAGGACTGCGCCTGTTTCAGCTCATAATTAGCATCTACAAACCCCTTTTCACAGACCCATAACTTTAAAAGAAAACCACCTACTGTATGTCAAATTCTGGATTTGATGTTTTATGTATCTTCCTCTCCCTGTTCAATCCTTACAACACTTACTGAGGAGGTGTTATTCCCATTCTTGACAAAAAGTTCAGAGAGATCAGTAGACTGACCTAAGACTAACAACCAGGAATTGGGGTTTGGGGAGAGCCACTTTAAAATCTGGGAGGCCTGCCGCCCCTCTCTGCTCAGGGTCTAACCTAGAGCTGGGTTTCGACAGTGCAGAGGGCAGTGACGTGGGTCAGACGCTGGGCTCCACTCCTCCAGGCCACGCGGCCAGGCAGCTTCGTGACCTTGGACATTCAGACTAGTGGCCGCATCGCTAAAGAGAAGGTCCTCCCATCACGAACCAGATGATCCTCGAGAACCTGCGACCCACGTGCTTCAGGGCCCACTTCTGACCACCTCTCAACCCAGTGAGGTTGGAGAAAGCCAGCCGCGCCCTGGGAACTGGGCCACCACGCCGTCCTTGCTCACCGTGTGTTAACGTAATGGGCCGGACTGTTTCAGCCCCTGTCTGCTTTTCAGGGTGCAAAGCGTGCCCACTGGTCCTCCCACACCGCCCCGGGGGCCCACCGTGGGAGAATTGGGAAGGAGCCCGTTATGTCCCCCTGTGCAGGGAGGCTGCCCACGGACGCTCAGGATCCCAGGCCGGTTTTGTCCGAATCCACCTCCCGCGGTCCCGGGGGCAGTGGGTCGGCGGAGAAAGGTGTGCAGAGCGAGTCAGGGCGAACAGGGCGCAGGCCCGCACGCCTCCCGCCAGCGCCAACCTGCGGCGCGGGCCTCGCAGGAGAAGGCTGAGCCGCAGCGGCGACCCGGCTAGGGCGAGGGCGACGGCCCGGTGCCCCCGCGGGGCATCCCCGCCCCCGCCTCGGCCCGGCGCCGGAGCGCCCCGCCCGCCCGCAGGTGCAGGCTCTCGGCGGCCGCCTAGGTGCGCGGGGATGATCTCACTCGCGCGCTCCGCGCCAGGAGGAGGAGGAGGAGCGGGAACCAGTCCAACTTCCGGGTAGCGAGCCGCACGCCGCCGGCGTCTTGCTCCTTTCCCCCTCCCGCTGGATCCCTCGCCGCTCCCTCCTCTCGTCGCAGTGCCGACCCCACCTGTCAAGATGAACAGCTCGGACGAGGAGAAGCAGCTGCAGCTCATCACCAACCTCAAGGAGCAAGGTAGGCGGGCGCGCGGCCAGGTGTGGGCAGCGGCGGCCCCTGGGCGGGGACGGTGCGGGCGCTGGCTTCGGGCTGGAAGCCGGCGGGAGGTTGCGGCCGCGTGGTCACCGCCGCCGCGCCGTCAACCGCGGGGAAGCGTCCTTCGCGCCCGGGCGCAGCGGAGATCCCCGGGCCGCGGGGAACGTGCGGTGCCGGAGTGTCGGCCCCGGGGTGCGGGAAATGCTGCGGCGCTGGTTGCTGTAGCTGGCGATCTGGGGTGTGGGGGGAAGGGACGAGGATTCGGAGCGGGCTGGGCCCCACGCTACCACCTTCACGCGGGATTAGCATGTGGGGCTGCGTATCTGGGGAGGGGGTGGCGTGGGCAGCTCAGCTGGTCCTGCTTCCTAGCTCTGCCCCACCCTTGCCCTTTGGTGCAGGGAGGCCTGCGGCATTGAGCTGTAGCCTCTCCAGCTTTTCATTCTGGTTTGCTCTAGTTCCTCTTTCTTTACCCAGATAGGATTTTCAGGCCATGATAGGTTTTATCACTTCCCATTTTTAGACATTTATTAGTCAGTGAGCCTGCACCCTGCGAGTGTTCGGCTTCCTGATTTAAGACTTGGCTCTCCTCCACTGGGAAGCCAGGCCATGTCCAGGCACTGCTACACTGCCTGGTAATGGCAGATTATCCTTTAATAAAGAATTGTTTTCAATCAACCATTTCCTCACTTACCACACTTCTGAACAAAGCCCAATGAATGTGAACCTAACACTTTTTACATTTAAAATTATTATTACCCTGACCAAAGGTAGCCCGAGAGTATGGGTCAAGAAAGAGAGGAACCATACGAATTCAGGAAGTAAAAACATGTAGGAACACGAGCCTTTCTGACAAACTTGCTGGTGTGGCCACCATGTAGAAGGGCCACTTATGGCCCCTTCTCTGTGGCTGATCATTGGTGTTTAGACCCCAGCTTTTTCACGTCTCTTTGCTCAACTCGCCAACTCTGTGAACTTGGAGGAGATGGTACCCCTTCCAGGGATCCTAAGGTTAATCAAGTCTTACCTGACCTATTGCTCCTTAAAACCACCTACCCTTCGAAAGGGTTTGCGAACCCCTCTGGAGTATACGCTCCAGGTAACAGATCTGCTCACTGTTTACTTTGCGAGCTTGTTTACTGTTTACTGTGTGACTTGTGGAAATTCTTCAACCTCACTAAAATGGTCAGAACACATTCCTCTGTGGTATCTAGAAAGTGTTGGATAAATGTTCATGGATTTTGCCTTCCCAGTACCTTCAACTCCCATTGTAGCTTAGCCCAAGGTCATAAAGTCACCAGCATCAGTGAATCCAATGGTGGGCAAAATGCCTTTATCTGGAATTTCTCAAGTGTTTTAGTGAAGGGTTGGAATCTATTAGTATTTTATTAAATGTCTAATAACAGCCCCCCAATAACATAAAGCCTTTTAAAAATTCAAGTCTAGTTGACATATAATATTAGTTTCAGATGTAAAACACAGTGATTCAACATTTATACCATAGGATATAATCACAGCAGTAAGTCTAGTAACCATCTGTCATTCTACAAAGTTACAATGTCATTGACTATATTCCCTCTTCTGCATACATTATAGTCTTGTGACTTATTTATTTTATAACTGGAAGTTTTTACCTCTTGTTCCCTTCACCTTTTCATCCAACTCTAAAGACTCTTAATTCATATTCTAGATGCTGGAGATTTCATTATTGGTAATCTCTGTCAGAGGGTACCAGATCTTTTGATGGATGGTCAGTTTTCAAATCATAACAAGATTAAGTAATTCCACTTCTTTTTATTCTGTATATAATTTCAAGGGTAGAGTAACAATGCAGATAATCCACAAGTTGTTTATATCTGGTTTTGGAGTACACTCTCTGTTTCTATGTTGTATATGAGAGCTGAGGACAAGAGGGGATTCTTAAGTGTCTGGTTCTTTCTCATATGGGAACACAAATCCATGTCATTGCTATTTTTAGAGGATGCGTTTTCTTGATTATGGACATATCAAACATAGAGCTTCAATTTGTTTCTTAAAAGGTACACTTTATTTTTTTTAAAGAATATTGAGTCTGGTTACACATACACAGGTCTTGGAACTTTTTTCAGCCCACAGTGTGATTTTTATACATCCCAGAACCAGGGCATTTGTTTGTCATTGGATCATAGACAGTGATAACAAATTTGAGAATATTTAATTGCTATTTGACCAATGAAACTAACTGGGAAAATAGGGATTTGAGGTGGAAAAACAGGAAACTAGGTGTTTGGGCTCTTATCTATATTATAATCAATTCTGTAAGCTGATGATGTGTATAATTTATTTTTGAAAATAGACAATACTTTTTACTACCTGTTAATAACATTGTTAATGACTCCACTACCCCTATTTAATGTGAACAAGAACTAATATCCATTTAATATTCTATTTTCCTTTTTTAATATTGAGTAAACACGCTCATTTATTCTTTTAACCAATACTTACCAGATACCTACCATATATAAGGCCCATGTGCTAGTCACTGGGGGTTGAGATGGTCTTTGCTCTCACCAAGTCTATTTTCTGGTATCATTCATAAAATAATCATATAAACACATTTGTACAATTACAAATATTTTTTCTAGGATAGATTCTTAGAAATGGAATTGTTGGATTAGAGGATATGTACACATAAAGTTTTGCTAGACATTGCAAAAGTGCGCTCCAGATATCCGTACCAGTTTACATCTCCCCCTTATCCCCCCCAGCATGAAACCACACACTGGTCAACATGGACTAACAGCAGTCTATTAATTTTGACAGCCCGACAGGTTTCTTAATTTTGCCAGTCTGATGAACAAAAGTGGTACCTTTAAAAATTTTATATCACCCAACCTGGCCGGTGTGGCTCAGTGGTTGAGCATCAACCCATGCACCAAGAGGTCACCAGTTCGATTCCTGGTCAGGACACATGCCCGGGTTGTGGGCCTGATCCCCAGTGGGGGGCATGCAGGAGGCAGCCAATCAGTGTTCTTTCTCATCAATGTTTATGTCTCTCTCTCCCTCTTCCTACCTCCCCCTCTCTCTAATATCAATAAAGAAAAAGAAATTTTTTTTTTAAATAAAAGTTTTGTATTACCTGAAATCCTTTTACACGTTTATTGACCATGGCGGTTTCATCGTATTGTTCCTTCCTCAGTGGGGTTTAAGTGTGAAATGTGGACCCATTCCCCGGGAGGGAGTTCAGGAGGAGACTCCGATCCCCTCGGAGTGGCAGCGCTGGCAGCAGCCTCCCTAATGTGAAGCCCTCAGTGGTGTGAAGACGGTTGCTTTTGACAAAAGTTGTGAAATGTAATGACGGAGTCTGTCATAATATGAATAATCTCTAATTTCTACTTACCATTCCTTAAGCTCTATGTCTTATAAATCACACCCACTTCTGAATTCCTTCAAAACATTGTATGTTCCCTTCTAGTGAATGGTATAATTAGCTATATTATGTCTTTCCAGAAAGTTATATTATGTCCTTTAAAAAAAAAATTAGCCAGTGTGCGATTGCTTATGTTCAAGCAGATGTTGAGGTAATGAGGTAATTCTCTTTTTGTCTTTTGGGGGGCTTTATTTTATTGGACTGATTGACATCTCTAATGCACTGAGAACTGGCAACTTGGGATACTATTTCCAATGCATAGTTCTTAGCTGCTAAAGTGGACGTTTTCCTTACAAAACATCATGCAATTTGCTCCCCCTCCAGAATTCTGTTGGGAAATGATAGACTTTGCTTAGCATTTGTTTAAGGTACATGATTTTCTTTGTCATTTATTCAACCCACATGCACTGAATATTCATAGCCAGGCACTGTGCTAGGCATCAGAGATACCGAGATGAACAAAACCTTGTCCCTGCTGGTGAGGACTTTCTACTCTATGGTGGTAGGCATGTAAATTCCTGGACGGGTGCCTAGTTGACCTAGTTTGGGTCATGTGTTTAAATTCTTGGGCCAGAGAAGGGCAGGGCACCTTGATTGGCAGCCCCGACAAAGACCAAAGGATTGGAGTATTGTCCAAAAAAAAAAAGAATGGTGTGCCACTACCAGAAGTGGATGTGCAGGCTGGGCAAACACAAACAATGGCTGTCCACTAAACTGGTCAACATAGTAATGACATGTCATCTGGAACTTATTGAGGAAGTTCTGAAGAGAGTGATTGTCACTTAACCATAGGATGTTCTAACATAATACCAAAACAACAACAAGCAACCCAAGAAGTATGGGCTGTTCTTGAGCCAACGCTATTTAAAATGGATTTCCTATTTGAAGATCATTGGTTTTAAAGCAAGGTAACTCCTTTCATCTTTACTTAGTATTCTTTTCCTCAAGATTATTGAGATATTGCTTAAGGTTCAGATGAAAATTGAGTCAAGCTTATTCTTAGAGCTGAGCTAGTAATTAAAAGAGGAATCCAGTGTTCCCTTGGCTTCTAGGATAGAAAGTAGCCAGAGCATTATTTTGACAGAAGGGACTGAAACTGTTGCCTACACAATGACCATATCAGTCTGGAAAAGCTAAAGCAAGGTTAGTGTTGGATCCACACAAAGTTGGTCACCAACTCTTTCTGTAAATGACCAGATAAATATTTTAGACCTTGTGGGTCATTTAATTTTTGTTGCAAACCAGTGTACTTATTAAAAATGCAATTTCCTCCTAAAGTTGGCTAGCCACTGCTGAAGACATCAGTTGGGCAGCCCTTCATGAGATGGAAACTCAGCATGGATGGAGGCACTATGCCCTCTAGTCAGAGTTTCACTGTTCACACAACACTTCCGTTACGTAGATAAAATCATAGATACGTTCATAGAAAAAAATCATAGAACGTAAAAGTACAATGACTTATTCCATCTAATTCATTGTTTCTCAATATTTATTATACTCTTAAGGAGTCTTTTTATATATTCTCTCTCCATCAGCCTCCCTCCCTGTAAAATTTTAATGTTCCAGATATGTTGTA